GGTGACATTGTCAAGGGGAGATATCTCTATAAAGCCAGCTTTGGGAGAGCAGCGGCTTTTGCTTTTATTGTGGTTTTCTGTTGTTGTTTAAGACAGGAGGAAATCTTCCCATTTGACATGAGGGTGGTGGGGGGTAGTCCCAGCCTTCTGATGTTGAAAGGAGCTATCTCCTAACATTTGCTCAGAATACATCTTTATAAATGTCAGGGAGCAGCGAAACTTTCCAGACTTAAAAGAGGGATTTGAGACGAGGGGGGAAAAGACTTCTGTGCCAGCTCATGAGCCAGAGCTGAGGGGGGAGCAGGTTTGGCTGCTCATGAAAAATCATTTAAAGCCCAGGAGCAGTGGTGTTGGGTCTGGAGGGGACGGGCTCAGCTGCAGCTCCGGGGCTAACAGGTTTGGTGTGCTGGGGCTGGGGCTGACCCTGCTGCTGGCACAGCTGACTGTGGATGAGGGATGTGTTTGCACGGGTAGCATGTTAGTATCCTTGGGTTGTTATGCCACTGAATACCTGGGCTTGGGATATGGTTTTGTTGTAATTCTTATACCTCATAGCTACCTTCTCTGGAAACTTTGTATTTGAAGAGCTTAATAAGTGGGGTGTTTGGGAGCAAATAAAGAGTCTGGGACCCGGAGGAAAGGCAGCTGTTGAAACTGATGGGGGAGTGGCTGGGGGATGTGGCCAGGGAAGCTGGGGGTATGTGCCCAGGACAGCTGGAGCAGTAGTATGCTCCCGCAGAGGTGAGAGAGGTGTGGGACCGAAGTGTCAGCCCCTTGGCAGGGAAACCTGGCGCCATCCTGCATGTCCCCCAACCTTTACCCCTTCTAGCTCCCAGCCTTGATGCTCATCTCGGGTACCCCAGTATCAGTCAGGACCCACTGAGTCCTGGGGTGGCCTCTGGGGTCAACAAGCCCTGTCACACTCCTGAGTCACCTGTACCTCTCTGTTTAGGGCATGTCTGGATGGGGCATGGCTCTGTAAAGGACTCTGGTTGCTGTGTCCTGGAGCTTAATGCTCCTTCTCCTGGAGAGGTTTTGCTGGCACAGGAGGCACCACCGCGGTCTGGGCTCCATGCCTCCCTGTAAAGCCCAGCTGGAGGCCGGTGATCTCGGCTCAGCCCATTTGCCCCGCTGAGGAGTAGAGATTATAATGGTGTGTTGTATATTTTTTAATTTCCTAAAGGTAACTGTTCAGTCCCCACCTAATTTTACACAGCATGTGAGGGAGCAGAGCCTGGTGACGGATCAACTCAGCCGGCGGCTTGTCCGTACCTACCAGCTGTACAGCCGGACCAGCGGGAAACATGTGCAGATCTTGGACAACAAGAAAATCAATGCGATGGCAGAGGATGGGGATGTGCACGGTAAGGACGCACCATGGCAGCAGGCGAGGGGGGAGCTGGGGAGGTGTTCGCAGCCCAGCGTGGCGATTGATGATTTCCGTCCTGTTTGTTAGCCAGAAATCGTTAAAATCGTTCAGCTTGTGGGGGTTTGTAAAGGGAGAACATAGGGGTCAGTAATCAGTGGCTGTGTGATTCAAGGTGAGGGCAGGTTCCCTGTGTTGAGAGAGGGGACTGGTGCTTGCAGGATGGGCTCCGCTCCTTTCCTTTTTATTTTTGGTTTGCACCTGACTCAGAGGGCTCAGGGCTGTGGCATCCTGAGCATCATCACTTGTTTCATCCCAGCTCTTTGCAGGGATGGGTATTTCTGAGACTTCTGTTTGAAACAGAACTAGCAAGGAAAGTTGAAAAAGAAGAGGCAGAGACAAGAAAGGGGTAATGGCTGCTTTGGAAGCCTATCCTAAACTAGAACAGTCTGAAGTCATGTTTTCCCCATGTAGCCTCATCCCTCCCTTCTCAAAACGAATCGCGAGCAGAGGCTCAGTGAGGCGGTCAGCTGCGGGTGAGGATGCTGCAATGTTTCCAGAGACAAAGCAGGGAATCCGCAAGCATGAGAGCTTGTGCTCTGCCACAGCCCCTCTGCCATCACCCTGGCACCTCCTCCCCAAAATGTCCACCCTGTCCGGGGCAGGGGGACTGATCCCTCTGCTGAGGACACTTGAAGCCCAAATACTTTGATCGCGTGCGCTAATGACACATTGGGACAGCCAAACGCAGCGCTGGGGTCAGTGGGGCCAGCGAGCCCGGCACTGCCGCGGGGCTGGCTGCAGGAGGCCTGATCCTGTGCCTGGCTCAGGGAAGTGTCTGTGTTCCTGTGTGGTGTACGTAGGGATCACAACTGTTTTTCTTAGGTATTAGCTGTAATTTCCCTTTCTTGCTTGGGGAGATTAGTAGAAACAATTTTCTTCCTTACCCTTCTGTTTTTGTTTTGTGTTTTGGTTTTTTTTCTTTTTCCTTCATTTTGCTTTGGCTGAAAATTTCATGCTGGACATTAGCAGTGCAAGTGCAGTGTGGATTCCATCTATGTGATGTTCCATACATTTAGTATTAATGCTCCAAATTAATTATTCCCACCCCAGAGCAGATCTAGCTTGAAAGGGCAGTAGCTAATTTCCCAAGCGCGCACACAAAGAAATCCCATCTTGTTTTAGACCTCTCCTGCCTGGATTTCAAAAAACAGTTAGTGCATATTTAAATAACAACCAGGTTTAAATAAGGCCAAAAGGAGGGGACTGGGGGTGGCTTGAAAAACTCTATTAAAATGTAATAAAAAAAGGTTAAGCATTTGAAGAGCTAAGGAGGAAAATGAAGACTGATCTAAACCAGAAAGAGAACAAGCAGTTTTTCAGATGTAAAGTTTTAAAAGAGTTGCAAGTCTGTAAATGTTAAAATAGAGGTTCAGGATTGTTCTGTATGAATCTCTAGGGAGGCCCCCATGTCTGGAAGAACTATTAAAACGCTTCTTACTTTCACCTTTTTTAACATTTCCTGAATACTTTCTCCTCTTCGCAGTCCAGTTGGGGGATCAAGTGTGTCTCACTGCATTTTTTCAGCATTTACGTAGCCACTTTCCCTTCAAAGTTTGAGCATGAAACATAATTTTACTGGGATAAATCTGTCACTTAAATGAAAGAATAGAGTTGAAAACTTTAAGCTCCCCCCCTCAAATAAGGGGGGAAAAAAGTATTCCCCTCAAATGTTATTTAGAAATCCACTTTTGCAGCAAATATCACCCCTCCCTGAGTCCTTTCTTCTGCTTTTTTTGTTTCATTTTTGGGGGTAGGCGTGTAAAAGGGGTTGATTTATTTTTGCAGATGACCCCTTTCCCCACGCTGACATTTTTACAGCCGACTTAACATCGAATCCGGCGTTTTCAGTTATTTGTCTTAATTGTCAATATTTGATTGACTTTTTTTAATTCTAAGGGAAGGCAGGCAGCCGGTGCAGCCTGGCGCGTCCCTCCCAGGCTGTGCCTGCCACCAAGAAAACTGCTGCCAGCTGCAGCCTGGACTCGACCCCACGAGTGGCTGGGGACGCCAGCACAACTCCCTGCCACTTGCTGGTTTTTGTCTGTGCCCAGAGTTTCCCACTGGTTGGGGCTGGAGTTTGCAGGGTTCAGAGTTGCCTACACGAGTCTAGGGGTGCAAGTCCCCAGGGCCAGGTTGCCTTCATCCTCTGTGGATGATGGGGCTGGAGTGATGCACTGGCTGGACTCATGCAGGGCAGCAAACCCGTCTGGTGGCTGTAAATCACAGCTACCCTTTGGGGGAAAAAAAAAAATAGAAAAGAAAAAGGAAAAAAAGTCCGAAAGAGAAGCAATGTGCATCTTTAAAGCAGGGTTTTGTGCTCACTGGGGCCAAGGCTTCCCCCCTCCCTCCCTCTCTCATCCCTCCCTCCCTCCTGGCTCTTTCTATCTCTCAGAGAGGAAAAATCAATTCTCCTCAAACCTTTTACTGCCTCTGAGATCAATTTGCCCCCCCCTTTCCCCAATATAGATAAATAGGGGGTCACTATCTCAGGGCTTCATTTGCAGAGTGCCACGGCTCCCATGACTGGTTTTGGGGATGCTGGGTGCTTGCCAGGTACTGGGCATTGGTGCTGGTACAGCCTGGGGTTGGCTCTTGCCAAATTTCTTGTCTCTGAGTTTAATCTGTGCATGTCTGCGAGTAGAGGGATGTGGGAAAAGGATAGTTTGGGGATGAGAAATGCTGCAGTGTGATGTTGACAGGAGGGAGTCCAGGGAGGGAGTGCCTGCATGCACATCAAGCCTGGCTTGCTTGGCAGCACCAAATCAGTCAGCCCCAGCAAATTTTGGGAAGATTTTTCTATTGGTCAACTCAGCTGTTGCCAACACTTCTTGCCTGCTGTCCCCACCTTGGTGCCATTGACCTTAGCAGTGCCTGTGGTATGAGGGGTGCAGGATCAAGGCATTGCAGAGAGATGCAATTTGTTCCTAGCCTCGAGTGTGATTTAAACTCTCTTTAGCTTGTGTGTATACCCACAACTTCCTTCTGCCATTCAAAGCATCCTCCTGCAGAGCCTCCTACTCCAGAGCAACATCACTGCCCTCACTGGGGCTCGCTGGAAGCTGTGTGTCCTGAGGTAGAGATGTGCAAGCTGTGGTGGACCACAGTCCTGAGGAACTGAGCAGGTCTTGTGCTGAAATCGGAGAGGATAAAGCATCAATGGGCTTATTCCCATAATAAGACTCTAGACTTGGAAGCTTCGTGATCTGAGCTCTACCTACTTTGTTAAATAGTGTTTATAGCACTAGGGACTGATGTCCTCCCACAAGAGGTGATGGTAGTGAGATGGGACAGTCCCAGGTGGCTTTTCAGCCCCATGGGAAATTCTTTGGTGCTTGGCACAGCACAGACCTTCTGAGGTTCACACAGGTAGCCACTATCCCCATCACGGCTTGCTCTGGGGACAGCAGCTGCAGGAACGGGGAGAAGGAGGTCCTGTCCCCATCCTCCCCCTTCCCTGGGGATGGATGGGCTTCGGGGCTTGGGTTCCCAGGGTGAAGGCAGGGAGGGAAGGTGACAGGTCTATTTATAGGCAGCCCATCGATCTGGCGATTTGCATAGCTCCTTCGGAAGTCGATCGATGCCTCCATTAAAAAACTGAGACCAAATCAATACGCCCTCTCGACACGTGCAAAGGTGAAAGGCATTAAAAGGATGGCTGCACCCTTCATGCTGCCCCTGCCAGCTGCAAAGTCACTGCTCCTCCTGCAGCCATGGCCTGGCAGAGAGACACAGAGCTGTGTCCCCCTGGGCTGGGGACAGCTGGCAGCATGCCGTGCACTTCCAGAGGGTGCTCTCCTGCTGCTTGTCTGCAGGCCCACCCAGACCTACCTCAGTTTGCAGGGCAGCTGGCTTGTTCTCCATCAACCAGTGCATGCCCTACTCAGTGCCCTGCCTCCTCCTGGGACACCTCTGAACCACTGGGCTCCTGAGCCACTGAGCCCCGTGGAGCTGAGTAAAGCAGAACTACCCCCAACCAGCACAGCTCAGGGTGGTAAAGGGATGTGACCAAGGTCATGCATGACCACAGTGGCAGGGCAAGGGGTGGGGGTCGAGGCTGTATCTTAACCTCATGTCCTGCTTTTAGGGCTCTCTCTGGCCCAGTCACTGGAGAGCATGTCCCAGCAGTGCTCAGCATTGCAGGGCATCGCTGGGGTCTCCATCCCTGTGTCTGCCCCATCCCAGAGCCCCTCTGACCTCCTTCTCTCTATCCCCCTTGCTCTCCCCAGCCAAGCTCATCGTGGAGACAGACACCTTTGGAAGCCGTGTGCGCATCAAGGGGGCAGCCACAGGTTTCTACATCTGCATGAACAAGAAGGGCAAGCTGATTGGCAAGGTAGGGCACTGGACTCAAGAGCACGGGCAAGGCATGAACTGACAGGGATGTGGAGCAGGGGCTGCTAGGAGAGATGTTCTGACCTGATACAAAGCTCACCTGTGTGGGTGGGAAGGCACAATGGGGGTGTCCCGGGGCTCAGGCAGCACTCCCTTTTTGGGAGCAGGGGGATGAGCTGCTCCACAGCCTGAGGGAAGGAGGGGAGCAAGAGAGGTGGGCGCATTCCTTCTATCTTCCTGAACAAATAGGAGGATTGCTGGTCTATTCTCCACAATTACATGGTACAAGTGCCAGGAATGTTAAGATGCTCCATGGGGCTGGCCCCAAGGCCAGGCCCCACTGCCTGCTGGTTCGTCATGCTCTCTCTGTGCCTTGATGCCCCTTTGTGGGGGTGGGGGGGCTGAATGTCTGGAATCCCACCAGGACAGTGACTGTCTGTGAGGATTTTCCATGACAGCTCCCTCCTGGGGGCTGCCCAATGCATGTCTCTCCTTGTCCCACCGCTGTTTGTAATGGGGGGACCTCAGTCCCCAGCTGCCCTATGCTTCCCCCCCCACCTGCATCTATGGGCATTGTCACCATTGACTCCTACATTGCTTCTCCTGCCTCTCAATGCCCCTTTTATGCCCCTCCTATAGTAAAGACCCCAGGGTGATAGGATGGGTGGATGAACTGAGACAAAGAGTTTGCTTATGGTCACGTCCAGCCCATGGCACAGATAAGGCAAAAATCCCCGTATGGGTGAGGTGGAAATGAAGGCTGGGACCAGCTGCATTGGGGTTTGCAGCTGGCATCACATTAGGAACACAAACTGCAATATACAGCCATTATGCCACAGTGCCTACTCCCTGCAGCTTGTTAAGGAAAAGTGGATTTTGGGCAACCCTGACCTGTGGGAGGAGAAGCAGGGAAAATAAGCCCTTGGTTGCCACACCAGACTGAGAAGCAGCCCTCTGGGCAGGTGCCCGTTGCTTAAATTTCCCCTCCTGTCCTCTTCTCAGAGCAATGGCAAAGGCAAGGACTGCGTCTTCACAGAGATTGTCCTGGAGAACAACTACACAGCTCTGCAGAATGCCAAGTATGAGGGCTGGTACATGGCCTTCACCCGCAAGGGCCGCCCGCGCAAGGGCTCCAAGACCCGGCAGCACCAACGGGAGGTGCATTTCATGAAGAGGCTTCCCAAGGGCCACCAGACCACTGAACCCCACAGACGCTTTGAGTTCCTCAACTACCCCTTCAACCGGAGAAGTAAAAGGACTAGAAACTCCAGCTCCAGGGTGGGCCCTTGATGTGCCTGCTCCTGACCCTTTGCCTGCCCCTCTCCTGGAGGATGCTCCTCGGAGCTTGGTGGACTATATGTAGAGACTTTCCCATATGGGTATTAAACAAAACAAACAAAACAAAAAAAAAAAAGGGAAGGGGAAGATAAGAAAAATTACCTGCTCTAGTTGTTGATACTTTTGGGGGGTGTTTGGTTTTTACAGAAAAAAAAGAAAAAGAGAAAAAATAAGAGAGGCTCTATTTTTGTACTCCAGCTTTAAAAGTAAAGAAACATTCAAAGACTGGTGAAGGGGTATGAGCCCTTCACTTGGAAATGTTCTAGTCTGTTCGGGGTCACGCTTTATTTTGTAATTTTTTTTTTTGTAGCTTTAGAGGGAAAGGAGTTTAAAAAATCATGTTTAAAACAAGCAAGCAAAAAAAAAACCAACATGGAAATCCAAATCTGGAGCCAATGTGCTACTTAAATGAACTGAACTAATGCTTACTGGAGAAGAGGGAGAGGCTGGAAAACAATTAAGGGGAGGTGATTTCTTTGGGAGGTGGTTGGAGGCCTCCTGGGTAGATTCTGCAGCCTGGGTTATGTGTGGGTGCTGCCTGTGGGGGCTGCCTGTGACACCCGTGGTGAGGACCACGGGATGCTTTCTTTCTTTGGATGTGCCTACTTCTTCGGCTGAGCCGAGGGGTTGCTGGTAGCCGCTTGCATCCTTCCAAGAATGCTGCTGGCCTCACAACTCCCAACTTTATTTTCTCAGGAGGGGACAGGGGTATGGGTGCCCCAGAGAAAGACCTGACTGACTTGGTACTTACCCATGGGAGCACCTTTGACATTTGGTTTGTTTTAAAGGACTAAGGTACGGCTGTCACGGAGCAGGCTGGTAACTGGTAGTATTTTTTTTCCCGTGTGGAAAATGTGAACTTCTCACCAAAAATTGATATTTTTTTCTGTCTATATTTTTTTATCAGATGCAAGTTTTCATCCATAAGATTAAAAAAGGTTTACAAATTATTGTGGAGCCATTTCAAGCTGTTTTGTCATGATATTCAGTATTGTGTCATAATGGTTGGTGCTTCCATTGCCAACTGTCTCTTCTAGGTTTGCTCTTTGATTAGAAATACTGCTGTCCTTGTCCTCCTAGGAAAGGAGGGATTTTCTTTCAATTTTCTTACAATGTCTATGTTTTCAGAAGCCCAATTTTCTATTTAGGAAAAAAAATGAAACAGCCCCAAAGGAAACATTAAATCTCTTGAGTGAACATCCCCAGCCAGTCCTGCTCTGCACATGCTGCCCTGGGACTGTGACTTTCTCCAAAGGGTTAAAGTAATTATTCTTCGCAGGGAGGGCAAACAAAGACACTGGATAGGAGCCAGAACCAGGGTGACTTTTCATCCAATCTTTTTTGATTGTTTGGTTTTTTCCTGTTTCCTTGAGGATTTTTGTTTTGTTTCAATTATGTACAAATTGAATATGAAATGATTGAAATATTTATTTAATATGTGCATTAAAAATTTGTATTAGTCTAACTGAGCCTGATGCTTTCCAGGGAGCGGTTGGGGCTGGAGAGGGGCAAAGGAGGATGGCAGTGAGGTGCAGGATGGGGTTGAGGATGACAATTGGCACAAATTTCCTTCCCAAGGGAACAGATGTGGAAAGTGGGAGGCTGCCCCAAGGTCTTGGACCCAGATATGTCTTGTGGAAATCATGGTCTCCCTTGCAGCAAATTCCAGGTTTAATGGGCAGATGCCACCTCCTTGCCATGTGGGGACAGGCTCATTGCAGGCTGAATGGCGACATAGTGGTGATGGTTCCATTGCACTATTTTCAAGCATGGGAGAAAGATGGTGTTTTCTCCTCCCTGGTCTGGAAGAGCTTGGTATCTATGCAAAACAGACTGTTGGGTCCCATCCTTCAGTGAATATTCAACCTTGCTGTGGTGTCTTGCTTATAGGAGCTGATCAGGGATTCGGATATGGAGTGGTTTTGGGTATGGAATAGAAGGTGGCAAGAAAAACATCGTGAAATATGTTAAAATTGCATAAATGCAGCAGTCTTGCAAGGTGCCTTGCCATTGCTGGTGCCAGCCCTGGTGGTGGTGTTGTCCTCATGGGGTGCTTGCAACCTTGCTTAGTGCTCAGAGTGTGCCTTGTCTGTGAGTGCAAGGATGAGCCTTTCCAGGGCTGACATAGAGGACTGGGCTGAGCTGGCAATATATCAGTAATTTCAAGGAAGGAAACAGAGGGTCTGAGTTCTTGGCCATGCTCTACACCTGAGCATCAGTGTTGCATCACGGAGGTCATGGATGTTTCTTGGGCTGCAGGGCACAGTGGATGTCATTTGCCTGACTGTCCCAGGAGGGACCCAAGGACTGCAGACGCCTGAAGACAACAGTGCTGGGGCAAGTCCATGTTGTGGTTTCCAGACTACAGGAACTAAAAGTGAATGACTCCTGGCTTTCACCAGGGAGAGAAGGTGTTTGATAGTCCTTAATGGGTGCTTTTCTTTCATTGATTTGTCTCATTGCTTTACCTAATGGCTTTGTGAACCTGAGTGATTTGGTGCCAGGTGGCTGCTCCAGGTGAGAATAGCAGAGGGGCAGGACTGGCTCTATGCAGGTCAGTAGATGTCTCCTGCCCTGTTATCTGTGCCCCAGTGATGGCAGGGAAGGGCATGGCATGAGTGCTCAACCATCAGTAAGGATGTTCCCCCATCTCTGACATCCTGGAATGCAGCCAAGGGCTGGAGCTGGACACCTATGTGCCCCTGCACAGCTCTGTAGCACACACCATCCCAAACTCCTGCCATCTGCTCTGCCACAGCAAGAGGCACCCAGGCCTGGCTCCTGGGAAGGGAGCCCCTGCTTTCCCAGCTCTCTTGGTCTGTGGTTAATTAGCCCCTTTCCATTAAAGGGCTTTTGGGCAGCCATGCTGCCTAGGAGCTCTACAGCTTGGGACTTTGTTAATTGTTTGAATCTGCCCAGCTTCAGCTTCCAGCCAGCAAAGGTTGTTTCACCACGGCTTGGAAGAGGAAAGATCCCACTACTAGTGTGATGGCCCACCCACTTCTCTGGGCCTCTACAGCTAGTTAGTTAATGAGTAAATGAATTAATTAATGGCTCCTCATACCCTGTCTCTGCACTGATACCACTTAGACCCTGGTATGGCTGGAGGAGCTTATGCTCTTGCTGGAGACCTGGGCCCTGCAGGGTCCTGAGCACATGGTCCCCAGGGCTGATAGCTCCCACCACCTGTGCAGGGATGTGGGGACAATCCCTGGTGGTCCCTGCTATTCCTCCATGGTTGCAGAAACCCTGTCTGCAGGCTGAATGCATAGAGTGGATCATCAGCCCAGCAGTCTGGAGCTTTTCCCTCTATTCCATCAGCAGCAGCTGTGTGGACCAGTCTTGGGAATCACAGCCATCCAAAGGCCCTGGCGGCTGCAGTGTGCTGGGATGAGGCTGGATGCAGGAGAATGCTTGGGACAGGAGGCTTTGAAGGAGGGTGTTTGCTTCCATCAACTCATGCTGTTAGTGTGAGTGTTTTGGGCAGAAACCCCTGCCCAAACTAGCAAAGTCCTTGTAGTGGGCATGTGTCTGTTCCTAATGCCACTGCTCCCAGTGTTACCCTGCAGCTCCCTCACTGCCATCAGCTAGGTGGAGGGAGATGGCAGATGAAGCAGGAGTGGAGTTTCACTGCCCTGGCTGTCAGTGCCCCATCCAGACCTTCAAGCAGCTGTCCATGCCTGTCCCTGCCCATAAAGGACTTTGCCATACAATGCCATCTGGACACAGTGACAGGGCTGGAGCTGAGCCACGTTTTGGAGATTCTGCCTCACGAGACCACTGGGAAGCCCATGTGGTTCAGCCAGCCAACACAAGGTAAGCAGTAAATGTGGAGTGAACACACCAGGGCAATGTCAGGCAGGATAAAGAGCTGTTTTCAGGTTAAATGATGCTGTGGATGCCCCATGCCTGGAAATGTTCAAGGACAGGCTGAGTGGGGCTTTGAGCAACCTGATCTAGGAAGGTGTCCCGGCCCATGGCAGAGGGGTTGGAACTAGATGGTCTTTGAGGTCCCTTCCAACCTAAACCATTCTATGATTCTGTGGCAGAGAAAAAGTAGGTGGACAGAAATAAATGACAGTTGCAAGAAAAAGGGGCCTGTGCCATCCAAGCAGAGGCTGCAACGAGGCTTGATCCACCAAGCCCCAAACATTTTGGCACATGCGGTCTCCGCTCCCACCCCTTCCCTCACTTTATGACATTTCCACAAGGCCTGCTTAGGGTTGGGTGCCCATTGGGTGGGGTGGGCTGTGGGATGCTGTGGCAGGGCCAGAGCTTGCCTGGTCTCCCTTGGGCATGGTCTAGCTTGGGAAGGACAACTGGGGTGTTTGTTTATTGCATCAGGCTCAGCTTTCAAACATTTCCCTGCCATCCCCCTCCCCCTCCTTTAATTAATTCTGGGTAAGAAGTTCTGGCTTTATTGTGCCACCGAACTGAGGGCTCCCTGTGGGAAAAGTCACACCTTCTGAACAGCTTCTGATACCATGCAAATGAAGGACAAGTCCAGGAAACGCTTTCATCTCGGACCTGTCCAGCCCCCTGCCCATTAATTACACACATTTCATTTGTGTGAGAGCAATTCCTCTCGGGAAGGGGGTGGGGGATGGCTGCAGCTTGTGGATCATCTTAGCCCCACTCTCTAAAGACTCCTCCTTGGAAGGGAGTTTATAGCCAGAAATTAGGATGCTCAGTGTCTCAGTGGGGGATCTCATATTTCTGTTCTCACAAGGCCACTCCAAATCAAACTGGCTTGTTGGTGGGCTGCATCCTGCCAGCAGGTAGGGCTCAGCACTGACACATGCCCTGCTTGGTACCAGTAAGTTCTGGCTGTGGGCCTGAGTGCCACAGGAGCATCCTAGAGGGAGATAGAAGTAGAGCAGAACCGAGCTCAGTGTTGTTCAAATGGAATGACCCTTCAGGGCCAGGAGCTCATGAAATGGATTACTTTGGTCAGGATG